GAATGATGAAGGCAATGAATGTACAAATGTGCTTTACACAATTGATGTATGTATGGATTGTGATGAGTTGTATGAGCCCCTAATAAAATGATTAATAAAAAAAGTTGTATAAGCCCCCAATAAAATGATTAAAATAAATAAAGGGAAGGTTTGATACACACACACACACACACACACACACACAAAAGGAGTTTAGACTAACTGATTTGTTGTTGGTTTTTTTTTTAGACTAACTGATTTGTGTAGTAGCCTCTGAAACTTCTTGTTGAGTATAGAGAAACGTCCCAAGTACAAATTTGACCAGTTTGCTATCTGCCTCTGAAAAAGGCTCTATTCTTAGAATAAAATGAACAAAATAGAACAATTATATGTGTTTCTCGTTATTTTTAGCTTGAGCTTTCAAAAATGCAAGCATTTTAATTGCCCCCAAATGCAATCTGTACTTTTGGTTTTCTGTTTTAAATACAACACTGTAAATCTAAATACACAAACAAAAAACTTAGGATGCCGAGGGTGGAGGGGCCTAGGGTTCGCGCCGTAACTCTGACCAGGCCCCTTCCACGGCCCGCAGCCCCTGATCAGCCGCAACTACAAGGGAGATGTGGCCATGAGTGAGATCGAGTACTTCATGCCCCTGCTCATGCAGCGCGAGGAAGAGGGGGCCCTGGCCCCGCTGCTGAGCCACGGCCGCGTCCACTTCCTGTGGATCAAACACAGCAACCTCTACTGTATCCGCCTGGGGCCGGGGGGCCAGGGCAGAGGGCAGGTAGGGGGTGGGGGTCCCTTGGCCCTTTCCAAAGAAACCTCTTTTCCTTAACCTCGCTGCCTGCAGTGGTGGCCACCACCCTGAAGAATTCTAATGCCTCCCTGGTGTACTCCTTCCTCTACAAGACCGTGGAGGTAAGTGCTGGCCTCCCATTGGCTGGCCGCTTTGTCTGTCTGTCTATCTGTCTGTCTGTCTGTGCCTGTCCTGCTCACCGCCTTCAGCAGAGCGGTCTCTGACCTCCTGGAGCCCCATCACTCTTAAGTTCTCACTGGCTCCTGTGGGACACCTCCCAACAGGGCAGGGGCCCCCAGATCTTCCAGGGGCCTGAGTGCCAGCCCCAGCTTCCCGTTTCCTTTGCCGTGTGACCTGGCCAGTCTGAACCCCGCCCCCCTGTCCTGCCCGCCCACCTCCAGTAGCCACCAATCATCTTTGGCTTCTGTAGATGTCACCTGCCAGCCTACTGCTCTGTTCTTTTCTGCTGACTTATTTCCCTCTGCACGTTTTGGGGGGCATGCAGCAGGATTTCCGTTGTCGTCGTCGCAGGGCATGTGTGGACCACATGGTGTGTATCCATTCCTTTATCCGGAGCTGGACATTTGGGGTGTTTCTGCCTTTGGGCTGTTGTGAATCACTGGGGCACCGGTGTCCGTTGGCGATTTGGCTCACTTCTGCTGCGCACACACCTAGGGGTGGGATTGCTGAACCGTAGGAGAATGCCACGTGTAACGTTTTAAAGAGCCACCAAGCCGTCGTCCACCCTGGCTGTACCATTTCCCCTGGAGCTTGGAATGCGTATTCCTGGATCCTCAGTGGCCCGTGATTTAGAACCCTGCCAGTCTGTGAACTTGGATGTATTTCTATATGAAGGATTTCCTTCGCTAGTCTGTGCATTGGGCTGCTAACTGCAAGGTCGGCAGTTCGAAACCACCATGCGCTCCTTGGGGGGAAGATAGGACTTTCTACTCCCATAAAGAAACCCACCGGGGCAGTTCTACCCTGCCCTGTAGGGTTGCTATGAATCAGAATCAACTCAGGGACTGTGAGTTTGAGAGTGTTCCCCGAGGGCAGGGCTTCTGTCTGCCTGATTCGCCCCCAGCACCTGCCCAGGCATACAGCAAGTGCTCAATAAATGCCTGGTGGCTCCCGGGCTGACTGAGTGGAGGACATCGCAGCCCATGGCCAGAGCCACAGCAGGAGTCACGCCCGTCTGAGTGTCTGTCTCCCCTCCTGCAATAGGTCTTCTCGGAGTACTTCAAGGAGCTGGAGGAGGAGAGCATCCGGGACAACTTTGTCATCGTCTACGAGCTGCTGGACGAGCTCATGGACTTCGGCTTCCCGCAGACCACCGACAGCAAGATCCTGCAGGAGTGAGTGGGTCAGGGGCAGCCAGAGGCTGGACCACCCGTGTGGCGGGACCTCGGGTGGGCCCTGGTAGACCAGCTGCTCGCCCTCGCTGCCAGGTACATCACCCAGCAGGGCAACAAGTTGGATACCGGCAAATCTCGAGTGCCTCCCACCGTCACCAATGCGGTGTCCTGGCGCTCCGAGGGCCTCAAGTACAAGAAGAATGAAGTCTTCATTGATGTCATTGAATCTGTCAACCTGTTGGTGAGCGCCTCCTTCCTCCAGGGCCTGGGCCGGGGGAAGGAGTCCAGACTTGTGAAGCGCCCCTCTCTTCCCCCTCACCCCCATGTGTGCATCTCCAGGTCAATGCCAACGGCAGCGTCCTGCTGAGTGAGATTGTAGGCACCATCAAACTCAAGGTCTTTCTGTCCGGAATGCCAGAGCTGAGGCTGGGCCTCAATGACCGCGTGCTCTTCGAGCTCACTGGCCGTAAGTGAGCGCCCTGACCCTGCCCTCTCGCGTTGCCCCGACTCATCCAGCAGGTAGCCCGAGGCCTCCCCCAACTGGGCAACCAAGGGCACTGCAGTCGGTTCTGAACGAAGCGCTTGTGCGCCTTCTGCTGGCCACAGCGAATTCTGCAGCTGCTGGCTCACTGGACAGCTACTGTCGAACCTTTTGGTCAAACATTGACCTCGCTCCTGCTGTGTGCTATGGGCGAAGGAGAGACGAGACTTTCTTTCCCCGTCAAGAGTTACCGTCTCGGAAACCCACAAGTGTACTTCTAACCTGTCCTACAGGGTCACTGTGGGTCAGAATTGGCTTATTGGCAGGTGTACAAGGACCCAGTGGGATCACAGGTTATAAGGTGGGCCGCTAATTGTAAGGTCAGCAGTTTTAAACTCGCCAGCCACTCTGCGGTTGAGACGTGAGACTTCCTGCCCTCATAGAGATTGTATAGCCTTGGAAATCCAAAGTTCTACCTTGTCCAATAGAGTCGCCATACGTTATAATCGACTCACTGATCCTAGGATTGGGTGTGCTAGCTGTAAAGGGGAGCCCTAGTAGCGGGCAGTGGGTTACAAGTTGAGCGGCTAATCACAAGGTCAGCGATTCAAAACCACCAGCTGCTCAGCGGGAGAAAGATGCAACTCTCCCCTGTAAATTACAGAAGTCATCACTCCTGTAATTTGCCATCTCGGAAACCCACAGGGGCTGTTCTACCCTGGCCTGTGGGCTCGCTATGAGTCAGAATCCAGGTTAGTGAGTGAGTGTAGGTGTAAGGCTCCTAGTGGTACCGTAGGATAGGCGCTGGGTTGCTAGGCTCTAGGGGAAATGAGGCTGTCTGCTCCTATAAAGATTTATAGTCTTCTAAGAAACCCTATATAGGCGGCCTAAGATTTACAGTCTAAGAAACCCTATAAGTCAGAATCACCTTGATTGGATGGCATTGGGCTAGTTGGCAGGTGCTGCTCTCGGCTCTGAGGAATAGCAGCGAAGAAAACAGAGCTGGTGGTGGTGGTGGGTACCACTGAGCTGGCATAGCGACTGTGTGAGTCGGGGTAGACTAGAGAAACAAATCCATAGAAGCTCGTGTGTATGAGAGAGTTTTAATATAAAAGGTAATTGTACATCAAGCATACCAATCCAGTCCAGTCTAATACCATACCAATTGTACATCAAGCATACCAATCCAGTCCAGTCCATACCAATCCAGTCCAGTCCAAGCCCATATGTCCGACATTAGCCCGTATGTCCGATACCAATCTATAAAGTCCTCTTCAGACTTAAGAAACACATGCAATGGCGCCGAATGCAAGATGATCACAGGCCAGTGGGTAGAAAGTCTTTGGATCCAGTGGCGTTGTGAGCATCTCAGCATTGGCAGGGGTCTCCACGTAGCTTCTCTAGTTCCCAGGGAACGAGGTCTATCAGTGGAGTGCCATGTGTCTTGTCAGTAGAGAGTCTCCAAGGAAGTGAGCCAAGAGAGAGCGACACACAGACAGACAGACGACTCTGCCTGTGTGCCTCCAAGGAGGACATCCAGGAATTCCCAGAAGGCCATGCCCACACAGAAGCCTCATTGGCCCTGATCCCATTGACAGACTAGACGCCACCCCTTCCCTCTTAATCCTATCAAGTCGCCAATTGGCACCCGATGACTACCACAGCGACCCTCGGTGCAGCAGAACACAACACCAGATCCAGCACCGGCATCACAACTGTCCGTATATTTGAGCCCATCTTGGCAGCCACTGTGTCATCTCCTTAAAGAGTTTTTCACTGCCCCCCTACTTTGCCAAGCCCGATGTCCTCCTCCCGGAACTAGTCTCTCCTGACAACACGTCCAAAGGACGCCAGACAGCTCTCTCCATCCCGGCTTCTAAGGAGCATTCTGGCTGTACTTCTTCCAAGACAGATATCTGTTTGTTCCTTTGACAGCCCGTGGTCCTTTCCATATTCTCCACCAGCCCTGAGAGAGAACAGCTTGGTATTTAACA